CTGAGTCTCTGACCACAGTCAACAATTGGTGGCTTTCACAGTCAACCTGTGAAACTCCTTGCCTGAGGAGGTTGTGAAGGCTAGGACTATAACAGAGTTTGAAAGAGAACTAGATAAATTCATGGAGGTTAAGTCCATTAATGGCTATTAGCCGGGATGGGTAAGGAATGGTGTCCCTAGCTTCTGTTTGTCAGAGGGTGGAGATGGATGGCAGGAGAGAGATCACTTGATCATTACCTGTTAGGTTCACTCCCTGTGGGGCACCTGGCATTGGCCACTGTCGGCAGGCAGGATACTGGGCTGGATGGACCCTTGGTCTGACCCAGTATGGCCGTTCTTATGTTATGTTCTAAACTCCAATAACATGAGACGGTGGTTACCATTCTTCCCGAATGATGACTGATTATGGACGCATCGGGAATAGTTGGAGAGCCCACCTGACCATCTTCAGATATGAGGGACATGGGACTTCACATAAACATCCTGGAAATCAGAGTCATACGGCTACCTTATATGGCACCCCTAGCTGTTCTATAAAATCCAACAGTGCAGATCCTGCCAGACAACACATCTGCAATGTACTGTGTAAACAAGCAAGGAGGTGCCAGCTCATCACCCCTCTGCCAGGAAGCTATCAAGCTCGGAACATGGTGTCACCATCCCGGGATAACCCTAGTTGCTCTTCATCTCCTGGGAGTGAGCAGCAATCTAACAGACTACCTAAGCAGACAGTCTGTCACCAACCATGAGTAATGACTGCCGAGGTTCATCACAGAGCCAGTGTTCTATCGATGAGGGACTCCCATCACAGATCAAGGATAGCACCAAGTGTCAGAACTTTTGCTGCAGAAGGGGTATGAACCCCGAATCATTAAGAGATGCCTTCCTTCTGCCATAGAATCAAGGCCTCTTACATGCCTTCCCACTGATTTGTATGGTGGTATCCAAGATCATGATGGATAGAGCCACACTCATCCTTGTAGCTCCTTACTGGTCGAGACAGTTGTGGCTGACAGACCTACTGCAGGTGCCCATCCAGCCTCCTAACCAGCTCCCAGACTGCCTGGCCCCAGTATCTCAGAACCATGGTCAGATACTTGATAGTCACTGGATGTTGGCTGGCTGAGTAATACTGAAAAAGACTGCTCCTTGTAGGTTTGGGCAATCCTGATACAGAGTAGGAAGACAGCTACAAGAAAGGCTTTCCCCCCTTGAAATGCGAAAGAATCTCAGTGTGATAAGCCAACACAACCTGGACCCAGAGCAGGTTCTGATGTTGAAGATCCTTGACTACTTGTTGCATTTAAAACACTTTGCCTTTTGTTCAGCTCTGTTAAGATTCACCTGGCAGCGATTTCAGCTTGCCATCCTCCTTTACAGTTGTGCTCAGTCGTCTTGCACCCGACGGGATCAAAGTGTCTCAAAGGCCTGTTACATGTTTACCTATAGGTCAGAGAACCTATGCTTGCTTGGGACATCAATATTGTCCTCCTGAATCTCATGGAGCCTTCCTCTGAGGCTCTTTCGGAACGCTCATTACACCATCTCACTCTCCAGGCAGTCTTTCTAATTGCCATAATTCTGGCTGGGAAAGTCAGTGAGCTGCAAGCACTCATGGCTGTACTTCCCTGTGAACTTACTCAGAGACAAGGTGGGGTTGAAACCTCATCCTATGTTCATCCAGAAGATGGTCTTGGAATTCCATTTGAACTAATTAGTTAATCAACCTATCTTCTTCCTGAAACCCCGTTCTGTACCAAAAAAGCACTTGCATGTCTCCAGAGTCTTACTTTATTACATTGACAGAACAAACCCATCCAGACTGGCACCTTGTTTATCTGGTGCCGGAGCCATAGCCAGCCACTCATAAAGTCAGGTGGTTCATCATAGAGAATATACCAGAGCATAGTACAGGCCATCTCAATATATTATTAGTTGGCTAGTATCTCTCCTTTTGGATGTTAAGACTGAAAGGCTCACTCCACCAGAGCTCAAGCGACATCTTCCACCTACTCCAGGAATGTGGCAATATCCTAAATCTGTAGGGCAACAGCATGAAGTAACTCACGGACCTTTGTCAGACATTACACATTGGACTTAGCTGCTAGGTAAGATGCCAACCTCAGGAGAACAGTGCTCCAATCACTATTCAACTAATCCAGCTGAGACACCTCATTTCCATCATCTTAAGGGCACACTGTTTGCCAGTGACCACAGTGGGATTCCCATTGATATATGCTCAAAGAAGGAACAGTTACCTATCTTGCAGTCATGAGATGTAGTTGGTGCAGATCCCATGACCCACCCTCCATCCCTCTCTTTTCAGAGGCCTCGGCAACCCCAGGCTTTGCCTTGTGAGGCAGGGTCATGGCCACTCTGCCCTATATGCCCTTGCATGGGAGCATGAGGTGGCACAGGGCACCTGTGCAACCCCTACAGACACTGCTGTGCAAACACTCCAATCTTGCACATTTCCTTTCAGGGGAAAACACCCTTGTAAGGCCTGGCTTTGTTCAGAAGACAAAATCTATTAAGAGCCCCAATGTGTGCCCTTCCATTGGAGTAAAAGCCCTCAAGAAAGGGTCATTTCTTTAACCAAAGGGATAGATCTAGATCCCAAGCTGCCAAGCCATACAGGCCAGGCAGGAAGGATCCCTTTTCCTCCATGCTTTGGCATTTATTTGTATGTATTTAATAATTTATAGTGTGGTATGTGAAAAATAATGTCTAGGTGGCATATGACTATATCCCATATAACATCAGAACACAGACATCCTCATAAACAGAAAGTGAAGATAAAGAAAAGACAGTGTCTCAGACCGGCCAGATGGTATTCCTCTTGATTTATCTCCACTGGGGAGATTCTGTTGGCCAGCTCATGAAAGAGGATTCTGGTGGCATTCTTTTCCACTCGCTCTGGGAGTGTATGCTCTAATTCCCAGACAGGAGCATGATCTGGCATCCATCTTTCTTCCCTTTCCCCTGATAGGCAGTCTTTCAGACAGCAACAAAGTCTGAGTTGAGGGTCATCCTGATGAGACTCAGAGCGGCCCAGGAGGTAGCTGTTAGGTATCTTCCCAGATTACCTTCTCTGGTGTAGCCTGAGGCAGAACCTTTGGCTCCATGGCCCAGTTCAACATGAGTAGACCTGCTTACATGGGTCTTGGCCTGGCTTTGGAGTGGACATACGTGGGACTGCTTTCAAAGCTCCCACTCTCTGTGCATCATATAGTGGGGGTGTGGGAGGGAATTAATGACTGATTACCCACAAGAATGTCTCTGCACAGAAGATGTATTCTCTATTAAGTAGATGTCAGGGATTACTAATATTTAAAAAAAACCCTGAAATCCTGTCAGTGATTAAAATAATAGGCCGGGCTGGGGGAGAGTGTGGGTGGTGGTGATGACAGCAAGAGATCTGACTTATTCTGGAATAAAGAAAAGGAGGACTTGTGGCACCTTAGAGACTAACCAATTTATTTGAGCATAAGCTTTCGTGAGCTACAGCTCACTTCATTGGATGCATACTGTGGAAACTGCAGAAGACATTATATACACAGAGACCATGAAACAATACCTCCTCCCACCCCACTCTCCTGCTGGTAATAGCTTATCTAAAGTGATCACTCTCCTTACAATGTGTATGATAATCAAGTTGAGCCATTTCCAGCACAAATCCAGGTTTTCTCACCCTCTGCCCCCCCCCCCCCAACTCACTCTCCTGCTGGTAATAGCCCATCCAAAGTGACCACTCTCTTTACAGTGCGTATGATAATCAAGGTGGGCCATTTCCAGCACAAATCCAGGTTTTCTCACCCCCCCCTTCCAAAAACCACACACACAAACTCACTCTCCTGCTTGTAATAGCTTATCCAAAGTGACCACTCTCCTTACAATGTGTATGAAAATCAAGGTGGGCCATTTCCAGCACAAATCCAGGTTTTCTCACCCCCCCCCCCCCCCAAAAAAAAAAAAACACCACACACACACAAACTCACTATCCTGCTGGTAATAGCTCATCCAAACTGACCACTCTCCTTACAATGTGTATGATAATCAAGGTGGGCCATTTCCAGCATAAATCCAAGTTTAACCAGAACATCGGGGGGGGGGGGGGTTAGGAAAAAACAAGGGGAAATAGGCTACCTTGCATAATGACTTAGCCACTCCCAGTCTCCATTTAAGCCTAAATTAATAGTATCCAATTTGCAAATGAATTCCAATTCAGCAGTTTCTCGCTGGAGTCTGGATTTGAAGTTTTTTTTGTTGTAAGATAGCGACCTTCATGTCTGTAATTGCGTGACCAGAGAGATTGAAGTGTTCTCCGACTGGTTTATGAATGTTATAATTCTTGACATCTGATTTGTGTCCATTTATTCTTTTACGTAGAAACTGTTCAGTCTGACCGATGTACATGACAGAGGGGCCTCACTCCCTGAGCCAGAGTCTGGTTGCTCTGCAGGGAAGGGCCACCACACTACAGATGGAAGCCAAAAATCTCGCTCCCACAACTGATGAGAGGCAGTGGGACAGGCTGAAAGTAAAGGGCTGCTCCTTTGGGCTGTTCCAAATTTAGATCCTGTAGAATCTTAACAGATGCGACTGAAAGGGGGCTGGGACGCCATTGGGGGTGCATTGTGATCAGCTGGCGGAGTCCAGAGGAGGCTGCGGCCCTGGACTACGTTAGAACACTGGCTTTAAAAAAAGTGACTGGCTGGAAGCCAAAGGGGACAGTGACTGAGCGTTTAAACATCCTCCACCCTCCGTACACTGTCTGCATTTCTCTTTCCTCCAGTCCCAGGAAGGGGGTCCCGTCGTCATTTCCCTATTGCATACAGAGACTAAAGGGTTAAAGAGAGCTGGGAGTTTTCTGCTAGCCCCCTAGGCTTCACGGTGGCAGATCATTGCTGGGACAATAAGAACTGGGAGCTTTTGTAAAGTCTGTGGTCCTGAAGGGGTTAATGAGAGCAGCCAATCCTGCCTGTGTCCTGTTAGAGCTGAGACAGACCTGCCCAGCCAGCTTAGCAACTTTCACAGCGTGTGCAAGAAGCAGAGAGATTTCTGACAGTCGCAGGGGATAATCTACACTACAACATAGCTCTCCCCGTCCACACACTGCCGGGTCCTCAGGACCCCTGGGGGTAGCAGCGAGGAGGGGATGTAGCCCTTGCTGGATGGGATGGATTTAGGAACTCTGGGATTGAACCTGCACCAAGCCTGGACAGTCATCTGCAGGGAACAGCATAAGGGCTGAGCGGAGCACTGTCTGCTGATTGCACTCTGCAGAGGGGAAGCTGCTCAGAGTCACAGGGACGAAGCCAGTGCCAGAAGTAAGACTCCTTCTCCCTGTGCATTGCGGAGCTGGGATGTCTGGGAACCATAGCCAGGTACAGGAGCTATCCTGTGGTAAGCAGGAAGGTGACTGGATGGCAGGTTGGAGGAGGGTGGGGGTGGGGAGGAAGGTTCTGGATGCTGGAGTATCTCAGACTGCAGTGAAGCAAATTTTGATTTTCATCACTAGTCTGGCAAAGCTGTAGGATTTTTTTTTTCCCCAACAGAGCTCGGGTCCTCCTGCAGTGAGCTGCCTGAAGTTTCTGAGATGAGGCTGTTTCAGGATGGCTGAGGTAGGGCAAAGCCTCCCCCTCCCCCCCCCCCCCCAACCTCCCTGGGGTACTGGATGGTGGTGACTGTGGGGTGGGGGGGTGTTCACACACAAGGGATTCAGTACCATATGGATAGAACAGCACAGGGGAGCCTTTCCGGGGTCAGGGCTGCCTTGAAGTGTAGCCCCAGCTCCTAAACCCAACCCCTTCCCTTGGTGTCAACTCCCCCTCCCTGTCTCCTCCCCCCACCATCCCTGGTGTCACACTGGTCATCTGAGCATTGTGGCCACTTCCACTCAGTACAACAGACTTCCCCGGGCAGGCTGGCTGACTTCAGCTCAGGCCTCCCCTCAGGACACCTGCCCTGGGGTCCCTTGTTCTCTTGAAGCGGTGGTGCCCCTCTGCCTGTGAAATACCCTCCACGCAGGAGAAGGGCCCGGAGTTCCAGACGTCTGGGAAGGGAAAAGAAGATCCCCGGGGGATTATGTAATTCCCCAAGCTATTGCAGATCCGAATGGAGGCATATGCAGCCGAGGGGGTAAGGGTGTGCTTTGCGTGTGCTTGCATGTAGTTACATGAACACGTCAGGGTGGGCCCCTGTCTTTGATTTCATGCTGGGTAGGATTTTCCTCAGAACCTGAGTGTTTGGTTGGGCTCTTGGCAAGTTTCACCCTTGGTCTCGCAGCCAGACTCCCTGTCTCTCCCCCTCCCTCCCTGTCTCTTGCTCTGTCTTTTCCTCCCTTTCTATCTTTGTCAGCTGTAAGAGCCCAACCCCTTCCCAGTTCCTGTAACTTATCTCCCTCCCTCAGCACTGGGTACTAGCCTGTGAGCCTGGCGCCCAGTGGGGCATACCAAGAAGGGAGCAGCCAGTGGCAATGGCCTTTTGGAACCTGGCTGCGGGTTTATTAGCAGCATCTCTGGCACAGGGTAAAGCAGCCTGTGATGGAGCCTTTGCCGAGGGCTGACTCCTCGCACTGTTATACTGATTGCTATTTGGATTTCACCTGCTTCTTCTCTTTGCTTTGGGCAACGTTCTCTCCAAGAGGGAGGGCCGTGCACCTTGCTAAAGTTAACAAGGCTTTTCCCATCTTTCTCTTCTCTTCCCCATCTCTCTCTCCTCCTTCTCCCATCCTCATCTTGCTGACATCTGCCCTTTCCCTGTCTGTCACCCTGAGTCTTTCCCTCTCTGTTTCCTGTTTCTCTCCTCTCAGTCTGCCCCCTGCCCCCGCCACTCTTCCCCAATCATTACTTGTCTCTCTTCCTCTCCCCTCCCTGCCTCCTCTTGCTCCAGTCTCTCTCTTTGCCTCCCGAGACACTTTCTTTTCCCCTTTGCTGGGATCACTAAAGCTCCCTGGTTGCTGGAGACCCTGCAGTTTGGTTCAGTGCCGAGCCACTGTGTCCTTCTCCCCACCTGACGGCTTTCTGCTCAAGGTCACTGCAGTAATTCCATATGAGGCTGCCTGGTGCTGCCTTATCTACCACACGGTTTCTGTTTCACTCCCTTTATATTCCTGGGGATATTGTGTTTGATAAAACTCACTGCTTTTAACACCATTGGCAGGGCTCCAGGCACAAACACTCTGCCTGCTCTGGGTCGCCACCCATGTCCGACTTTTGTTTTTTCTCCTTTCATTCCTGTGTCTCTGGACGTCATAAAAACTGAAAACTTTCTGGGAAGTTTTGCAAGCAGGTGAATAATTGTAGGGACAGCTCATGCTGCCGGCTGGAGACAATCCTGGTGCTAGTTGGCACATTGGGAATGTCCGGACCTGGGGCTTCTACTGAAGAGGGAACCTGCTGGGAGCTAGAAGGGAATGTCTCGAGCTGAGGCTTTGATACAAGGGAGAATTTAATCAGCAAAAGCCTAGCGTTCGCTAGCAGGGAAGGTGGAACTTCATCAATAACCTTGTTGCAGTCAGAAGGGAAAGTGCTGATCTTGATCGTGAAGGACTTAACTTGATCAGCTCGGTTGTTTTTAAGCAGTAAGGAGTGACTGTCTCCCCCCACCCCTGGCGGGTACTGCTGTCTCTGGTTGCAGTCATTTTACTGGCATTTAGCCGCCCTAAGATCTAAAGACAGTAGGCGGGTTGAGCTGGGCTGCACTGTGAAAGGAAATCAATACAGGGAAATATCTTGAAAGAAACTTCTTTAGCCCTGTGAGCCATCTCTGCAGATTCCTCTCCCTCTGCCTCGGTGAGTGTGATGCCTACACTGGCTGGGGGTGGGTGGGTGGCCTGATCTTCACCTATGGCCATGGGGTTAACCAGGCCATACCCAGGCAGAAGTAGGGCCTGTCCAGATCTAAGGTGTTCTCAAAGCAATTGTAGGACCTGACTGGTTTTAATGGAAGGTGGTGGGAGATGCGTGTTCTTTGTGGGTGTGTTCACATGAAGCTATTTTCAGCCCCGACTCCGTCATGGAGAAAATGAGGTTCCCTAATGGAGGTTATAGCTGAGTCACTTAGGAAGGGTAAGGATGAAAACAAGATGTAGCAACTGAATTCCGGGGAGCATAGTTGCCTCTCAAGCCAGGAGGTGAGGACTGAAACCACTGTGTCTCCCCACCCTTGGGAGTGCAGGGTCAGGGGTAAACCCAGTCAGAGTGTGGAATTGGGAGAGGATCTCTAGCACAGGTCAGACTTGTGTCTTCTCTTTGGGGCAGTGTGGGCAGTGCTGTGCAGTGATCTCCAAGCGTACATTAGCTGGAGCACAAGAAGTGAAGCAGGGGAAGTGAAGGGAGTGGGGCTAGAAAGCAAAGGTTGGCCTTGAGCACAAGCAAACCAAGAGGTCATTGGGGTAGCTCTGCAATTCATGGTTTGCCCTTCTCCCAAGGAAGAAGAAGGAGGAAACAGCTCACAGGATCCTTACGCTCCCTCCATCACCAGAGAACTGGAGTAGGGGAAACTCCTGCCCTGATTGTCTCCCCTTCCAGAACCTTGGGGTCCTGCAGCTTACTCAGAGTAGATTTAAATGACCGTTTTAAAACATCAGTACCCTGTCTATGCTGCAGCCATCACCGTCACTACCATTGGTGGAGAGTCATGGGTCCCAATTCCCTTACTGTTGACACAGCTTTGAAAACCTCATTGTAATGTGCATCGTCTTTTCATTGCAACAGGGCTGAGGGTTACTTTCTACATGTGCAAGTCCTGTCCCTGGGACTCTGGAGGACGGCTTAGCTGCTCTGCACCCCCGTGTGTGTGTTAGAGCGTGTGTGCGTGCATGAGAGAGAGAGATACTTTGTGCTCATTCAAAAGAAAATTCAAAGTAAGATGTTCTTATCTTTCTGCACCCACCACCTCCACCCTCTATCAAATTAATTTCTCCCTCCAGCCCCCTCTCTCCTGCTACCTCTGCTTGGATATAACATTAGCAGTTAGGTGGGCTGCAGCCTGGTAGGAACATGACAGAGACCCAGCTTGGGGAATGCACTTGTTTAAAAAAGAATTTGTAGGGAGTTTTGTGCTCTTGAAAGGAGCTGGAGCCTTCTGTTCGATCTGCAGGATGGGCACAGTGGCAGCAGGAGGCCATGTGGTCTGGTGGGCTGAGCCCAAGGCCAGTGTCAGAGCCTTGTGTGTTCTCATCTTGATCTGCCCCGCTGGCTTGCTGGGTGTCACTTGACCTCCGTGTCTCAGTTATCCCTTCTGTCAAGGGAGGATCGCAGCCTTTCCCTGCTGTGGCGAGGACTAATTGAGTTAATGTGTGTGAAGTGCTCGAGGTTATTGTTACAGGACAGGCAAGAGTAGTCTAAGTTTCCTGCACCAGAATGACCCGAGCCTGAAGCCACCAGGGCAGATGGAGAGTAACTCAGTCTCCATGACCCAGGCTGCATTCAGCTTCTCTGCTGAGACTGATAACAGTGGGGACAGTTAGCACCAGGTGAGATGTGGACACCCAGGAGCTGGATTGAAACCACCACACTTGTTTCAGATACACCACTAAATACTAGGTCCAGACTTTATCTTCCTGTGCTTCAGGCAACAGGGGTTCTGTGAAATGCCTGTGCTCAGACCCTGAGGGGAAGTATTGCTTGGCATATCCCACCTTCAGATTTAATGGCCCCCATCAGTGTCCATTCCCAGAACAAGGGGTTACCTCAGTAATGCCGTGAGAGAAACTAGGAAAGAGAGGAAAAGGTTTGGTGAACCTGCCGGTCATTTCTCTACAAAGATGCAGGATGGAAATATACCCTGAAAAAAATTCCTGCATCAGACTGTAACTGAACCCAAAGTCTGGGGTGAAACCCTGGCTCCGCTGATGCCAATAGCAAAGCTCCGGTTGACTTCAGTGGAGCCATGATTTGGCCCCTGGTGCATAGAGAGGCTCTACAAATTTCAGCATTCTCAGACCTTAACATTCTCAGGATCAGTTTGACTGCCTAAGCACTCTAGAGTTTGGGATGCTTACCCAGAATGCCTGGGTGCACGGAACTGGGTCAGAAATCTTGTCATCTCTAGCACCTTTGTTCCTGATAGGAAATATCATGAGAATAGGCTCTTGTGGCATTTCAGCACCTGCTTCCCTTGCTGGGATCCAGAACCAGCATACAAGCTCAGAGAATGGTAGTTTGAGTGTGGGGGTACTGGTTTGTTGGGGTGAAAGGTTCTTATTTTATCCAAATTGATGCGCTAATCCTCAGTCTTGAGCCAATTGTTCTCTAACAGGAGAAGGCCATGGATAATTTCCAGGAGAAGAATCCCAGTTCGACAAGTGATTGGGAAAACAACAGCAGGGGATTCCATATTTATTGCCTCTCAAAGCAGCTTATTTGCTGAGTTTACTTGTAAAAAGGTGGCTGGTTTTCTGACTGCAAGCTCTGCCAATGCACACTGGGATCTGAGAGTCACGCTGGTTTTCTTTTCCTTCTGTGGCATCAGCACCAGTATAAAAAACCATGTCGACTAAAGGGAGAATTGAACCCAGATGCATTTGGAACTTAGTTAACAATTCTGATGATGCATAGAATCAACAGAATGGAATCCATTTCCCTCTCCCATAGTGTGTTTCCATTGAGAAAACAGTACACACCTATTTTTGCCACTATGTGTGACTCCGTACATAGAGGAAGCAGATCTTTGGGGGAAGAAGGTGCCATTTTTAGACAGTTACTTTTAGGAGCAGAACCACATGGTAAAATCCAATCCAAATATTTCCGTAGAATACAAGAGGAGATATCTGGAGAAACTATAAGAACTGACTATTTATTTTCTATATGATTTTTCCTTTGGATTCATCTCGAACAAATAAAAATTTACCTTGTTTGCCTTTAGCTGCAGTAGGTAGCAAGGTTAAGTCACAAAATACAAGGATGTATGGAATAGAAGTATTATAATTTTTCATATTACATTTAATATGTCTTGATTATACACATTAAAGGTGAAAATTACTGCAGGTGCTGCCAGAGAGCAACAGAAGTGCTTTGGGAATGCAGACTGGGTCCCCTTTTCACTGGTGATTGCATTTAACACTTTCTGTCTGTTTTCCAGATCAACGTGAAACCTAGTGAGCTAGATAGAGCTCTTTCACTGGTGAAGCTGGAACGGTGACTTTCCCCCTGGGTCCCAGACTGTTTATTCCTCAGTTCTTCATTGCCCGTTGTGGACTTTCTGCAAGGTTCAGCCATGACTACCTCTGCCTTGCGCCGGCAGGTAAAAAACATTGTGCACAATTATTCGGAGGCGGAGATCAAGGTGCGTGAGGCGACCTCCAATGACTCCTGGGGCCCACCCAGCTCCCTGATGTCTGAGATTGCAGATCTGACCTTCAACACGGTGGCTTTTGCAGAGATCATGGGGATGATCTGGAGGCGGCTGAATGACAGTGGCAAGAACTGGCGCCATGTGTACAAGGCACTGACCCTGCTGGACTACCTCATCAAAACTGGATCAGAGAAGGTGGCCCATCAGTGCCGGGAGAACCTTTACACCATTCAGACTCTGAAAGACTTCCAGTACACAGACCGCGATGGCAAGGACCAAGGCATAAACGTGCGGGAGAAAGTCAAGCAGGTCATGGGCCTGCTGAAGGATGAGGAGAGGCTGAAGCAGGAAAGGGCTCATGCCCTGAAAACCAAAGAGCGCATGTCCATTGAGGGCACGGGCATCAGCAGCAGCCAGCAGCTCTCCTATGGCAGGCGGACATCGCAATATGGAGAAGACTATGGCAAGCCGAGGGGGTCTCCATCATCCTTTAATTGTAAGTGCTATAGTGCTACAGACCGTGGGTGGTATGGAGAGCGTGGGCGTTTCTGACCCAAGGGCAGTGGATCACTGGATGTCTGAAGTTCAGAAGGAACGTCTGGGCTTGCTCTTGTCTATCCTGGCAGCCCTGTCCAGAACATTGTCTTTTAGGGCAGTGGCTCAAAATCCGTATCGGTTACTTTCTAGCCACATGGCCAGTAGTCTCCACTGTGGAGCAGACACAGGTTTCTTCCTGTTCTAATGTCATGGGGTAGGTGACCTTTGGTCTTCCTCTGGGCCATCCTCACGTGCAGCATTCTGGAGAGTAAAAGTTAAGGCTGGGACTCTACATCTCACAGAGTCTGAATTGCTCCCGGCCTTCAAGGCATTACTAATTGATGGGTGAACAAGGCACTCGGAGCACGGAACTGAAGGAAGCACCTCACAGATGCCATCTCAAACACTGGGAGATTGTTTATGTTAGAAGGTTGCAACTCTAAAATCTTTCTCTAGCAGCTGCTTATTTTGATATCAGCCTCAAATACTTTCTGATCGTTTCCTATCCTCCCACTGAGCTGCCTGCTTTGGTGAAGTCCCCCTGCCGTTGTGTAGAGATTCTTGTGCTAACAGGATCCCTGCCGGAAAACACAATTTTATTCCTGGGGGGTAACTGTTCTATTTGCATCCTGACCCCAATCCCCACCCTTCTCCTTAACCAGGCTGGTGGTCGAATTCCAGCTCTTTAAAGGCAGACTGTCTCTCTGAGTGCTCTGGGACATCAGTGACATGAGAAGCAGCTTCCCAAGCATTTAGGGCAGTTGCTGAGCATGAAGGTCCTGTAGAGTGAGCTGGGTGGTGGGAATGAGGGGAGAGCAGAAAAGCCCATTGAGGAGGAGAAGGTAGTGATCAATGCAGATTGACTCCTAGAAACGTCCCAGCTCCAGAGATTCTGTTTTTCTTCTTCCTCCTTCAATCTGAATTCTTCCTCTTTTTTTTTTATCTCAGCCTCTTCCTCGTCCCCTCAGCACGCCTCAGACCTGGAACAGGCAAGACCCCAGACGACTGGAGAGGAGGAGCTGCAGTTACAGCTTGCACTAGCCATGAGTCGAGAGGAGGCTGAGAAGGTAATGTTTGCTGCCTCTCTCCTGCGGGGTGGTGTGATTGCCTGCAATGTCATGTGGCCCATCCAGGACTGCTGTGAGCAAACATTTCCAGTGGCTGGAGATGGGACTCACGCTGGGGAGGGCTCTGTGTCACTACAGAGAATTCTTTCTCAGGGGTCTTGCTGGTGGGTCTTACTCACATGCTTAGGGTCTAACTGATTGCCTTATTGGGGTCAGGATGGAATTTCCCCCCAGGTCAGAGTGGTAGAGACCCTGGATATGTTTTGCCTTCCTCTGCAGTGTGGGGCACGGGTCACTTGCTGGTTTGAACTAGAGTAAATGGTAGATTCTCTGTAACTTGAATTCTTTAAATCAAGTTTTGAGAACGTCAGTAACTCCGTCAGAGGTTATGGGCCTATTACAGGAATGGGTGGGTGAGGTCCAGGGGCCTGCGATGTGCAGGACAGACGACATGAGCATGATGGTCCTTTCTGGCCTTAAAGTCTCTGAGTCTATGGGATCATGGTAGTAAGGCATGAGAGAGAGATTTCTAGGCTCTGTCAACCCGCATGCTAGTGTGCACAGTATTGTTTTCTCACTGGCTGCTCCATGCAGACACAGCACGCCAACATATTGTGGCATGATGAGGATTTATTGCACAGTTGTTGCCCATTTCATATACTGTGCATACAAGTGAGCCGAGGACTTGGTGTGTGCACTGTACCAGTACATCTTAAATCAATACCACACAGTCTCAGAAAGATAGATGCGGTCCATCTAAACCCTTTCTTCTGTGTGGTTGCCTTGAAGATGAATGGTCCCTTTCCAGTGGCGGATTAATGATTTTGCCACCCCTAGGCCCAGAAATAATTGCCCCCCGACCCCCCCACCTCCCCCGCAGCTCGCCTCCGCTCCGCTTCCTCCCCTGAGCGCGCCGCCGGGTCCTGCTTCTCCCTGCTCCTTGCCAGTGCTTGTGCGTGAAACAGGTTCGCAAAGGAGGGGGGAAGGTGGGGAACACGGCATGCTCAGGAGAGGAGGCGGGGCTGGGGCGGGCATTTGGGGAAGGGGACCAATAGGGGCAGGGAGGGGGCAGGGAAGGGGTGGAGTTGGGGCGGGGCCAGGGGCAGAGGGCACAAACCGGCACTGGGGGAAGCAGCCTCTGGCTGCTATTATAAATTTGCCGCGCCTGCAAATTTGCCGCCCTAGGCCTAGGCCTTGTTGGCCTCGGCGTTAATACGCCGCTGTCCCTTTCCATGTACCATCAGGTGGTTTCAAAGAAGGTAAATAGAATTCCGTCTGGAGATGTGGAATCAGGACTCCGAACAGCTCATATGTAATCAGCTGCTCTAAATACATTGGGTGAAATCCTGATGATACTGAAGTTAATGCGGGTTTTGCCATTGACTTCAATGGGGCCCGGATTTCACCCATTGTCTTTCATGTATAAATTACTCTGATTCTGTTACTTTAACCATGAAGGTTTTATGCTGATGTGCCCAGAGTGATTCTGTTATTTCCTTGGCAGATACCAGGGGGAACCTGTGTCCCCCTGGGGAGAATGGGTTCTGTACCAGGAACTGCAAACATCCTGCAGAACTGGTCCATGTACTGGTGACTCTAGCTGTGATTTGAATGCAGTTGTGCTGGTGTGTGGGCATCGGATGACTAACTTTATTCCACATGACTGTGTTTAATTAAGTCACTTGGGATCATTTGAAATGAGGCTAGACAAAGGTCTGGAAGACATCATAGAAAGCAGTTCTGCCTTGGCCAGGGGGAGGGGAGGGGAGACAAGATAACCTAACGGGTTCCCGTCTTGCTGTTATATTCATCATGTTAGAGTCAGGCCCAAAATCCCAGCCTAGAGCATGTGTCCTTCATGTACTTTCCCCAGCTCTCTTATCAGCTGATCTGCTTCCCCCTTTCCAGGCAGTGACTGTTTGTTTACACACACACACACACAGTCTGAGATTAACGCTAACCGGCACTGCCTCTCTCTAATGATACTGATGATATTTGAGGAGGACAAAGCCACTGAGGGACACTTTGGGTGACACCTCCAGGGTCAGGGCTTTCCCGCCTCACTGTAGTCTATGTTTAAATTAAGCTTGGTTGGACCAAAATGTCTCTCAAACACCTTCTCCTGGCTTAGCCTCTGGTGGTTGAAGTTGTCCCTGTGCCAGGCATGGCTCTAGGCCTTAGCATTCCTCTTTGTGCTGGAGCCACCCACGGTTGCTGGAGGCCTGGCTGGTTATATGATTGCTACCTACATGGTCACCATCCCTGTTTCTGAGCAAAATAGTTACCGTTTCCCACCCTTCCCTTCCTGGAAGCTCTTGGATGGACTTCAGAGAACTTGTGTCCCTATTTTTGTCCCAGAGATGTAGCTTCCCAAACCTTATCAGGGAAGCTGCTGTGGTTAGTGCTGAAGGAACGTGCTAGTCAAAGAGAAGCTTATTAGAACCACCCATCTAGGTAGGCCAGGCACAACCGGGGAAGGGGGTAGGCAAAGGGGACATTTGTTTCTCCTCCTCCCTCCAACAGTCTTCAAGGGGCCCCACATTATTGTCAAAAAGGCCAAAATATGTACAAAGTTATCCAATATTAAACAATGGAACAGCGACAGACTGGTGAGTCTTCATCCTTTCACAGCTAACCATTGACACAGGAGCCAAGTTTTCCTTTTTTAAACTCTTAAAATCCAAGAGTTTCTAGGGGTCTAACTAGCCCTTGGACTCCTGAAAGGTTGTTTTGTTTCTAAAATAGTGACCTCCCAGGGTCCCAAAGTACTTGCCCCCCACTCCAAGTAATGGGACCCCAGAGCCACTGCTGCATCTAGGTCAAACTGTGTCATGCAGAATAGCCCTCCTCCACTGCTCCTGGCTGCTTTAGCGCCAATGAGTTTTCACAGACCATCAGGGCTTGCTGAAGGATTCTGTAGGGTTGTGAATAGGTGTGGCTGGTAGTTGTGGTCCCATCTGCATGTTTGACCTTTTAGTGGAGAAGGGCCCAAACTGTATGTTCACCAAATCCAAGTTTTCAGCATGAAGGGACATGGTCAAAATGCAGTCTGGTCCTCCCCCCACTGCAAGACTGATCCGTGGTATAATGAGGCCCCCAATGTGGTAGCGTTCTACACTGAAGACAAGACCTGAATATTTTCCAACATGCAGAGTAGCAGTATTTCAGTGGGCTGTTTGTGTGCCTGTTGGATGAAGTTGGAACCACTGCTGTTCCAGTGATGAGATGGAAGGAGGGACGGAGTTTATTGCAGCACATAAATCTGTTTAGTTTTATCGTCGGTTGAGAGAAGAAACATGGTCCACAGTTGTAAGGATGTGACTGGGAGTAAGGTCTTGGGTTGTCCTATGGGCTGTACCACTAATACACTACAACAGGGGTGGCCAAACTGTGGCTCTTTTACCGTTAAAATGCAGCTCGCAGAGCCCCCCATGTCTTTCCCCCCATTCTCCAACTACCAGACTTGGGAAGAGGGGGAAGCACAGGACCTCTGCCTGCAGCGGGGTGGTGGGGTAGTGGCTTCTGCCTAGTGGGGAGGGGGGTCTTTGGACTTCAGCAGGAGCAGGACTGAAGCCCCGAGCCCCGTCAGGAACCTCCCGCAGGGCTGAAGCCTGGAGCCTTGGCACGTGTGCCCTGGCTCTTGAACTTCTGAAGATTGTTGTATGCGGCTCAGGGGATCAGTACATTTGGCCACCCCTGAACTATAAAATCTTTGCTTAACCATCTGCACTTCAATTTTCCCATCTGAAAAGTGGGGATAATGCTGTCATCACAAGGGTGTTGAGGATTAACCAGTAACACCTGTAGAGCTCTCTGATCCTTAGAAATTGCTATAGCAATGCTAGGAGCTGTTGTTATTCTTTATCAATGTTATTAAGGGAAGATCTGCTAATGATGTTCCCCTGGAGATAAAAGAGCAGAAATATCCACTGAATTCCTGAGCAGTTTGCAAAGTGTTTAGCTTTTGCAGGGGCTGCCCTTGATATGCTCTGACCTCAGCAAGGGGAAGAAGTGTCACTGGGGAAGCTGTATGGTTAGAGGCCTGACAAGCCAAGCAGCTAAAAGTCTAAAGAAAAGTTATAACCATAAACACAATGCAAGATAGAATCTTATCGGGCCCAGATGAGTCTGAAGTGGCAAGGTGTTTGTATGTCAAATAATAGTGGACACACAACATCTTACATTAATGTACCACCTTTCATCTTGAAGGATCCCACAGTGCTTTACAAGACAACGTCACTGAAGTGCAGCCACCTCTGAGGTGGAGCAGCTTATGGCACCACAGTGGGAGGACTTAAGAAAAGTGATATGGGATCTTTTATGTTCATGTAGTACAGATGGGATGTTGGTGTTACGGCCTCACCTCAAAGACTTTGCTAAGAAGCTACATGTATGTATCTAAAAAATGTGAAGGGCTAAGTCAACTGTGCCAGGATTCAAACCTGTGGTTTCAAGGTGTTGGTGTTTCAAACCAGAAGCTTCTAAACCAGCCCCTCCAGCAATGGATTGATGGGCAGAGTGCTAGAAGAGTAGATGAACAGACAAACAAAACAGTGGGTGGGTGAATGGCTGGATGGAAAAGGAAAGAGAGCCTGATTGATGAGTATATGGAGGAAAGATCAGATGGATTGGTGCATGGATGATGGATGGATGAAAGAATAGACATTAAGATCGGTGGTTGACTAGCTAGATGGAAGAAAGAGTAGCACCAGATGAATGGATAAATGACTGAATAAAAAGACTTACTGTATAACAGGTGAGGGATTGAAAGAAAGATGGTTACAAGGAAGGGGATAATTTGGTAGCAAATACAGAGACCTCGAATCAAAGAAGCAATTTCATTCAGTTCTCCTTCATTGGCAGCAGCCACTTCCTCCAGCCACCAGCACAGATGAAGAATTGCAATTGCAGATAGCACTCAGCCTGAGCAAAAAGGAGCATGAGAAGGTACCCCACACGCAGCGGATCAAAGGGCACTTTCCTCTTCTTGGATTCTAACTTCATGAGTTTCTAAATGGACCTTTGGAGTATTAAACATTGTGCAACTTTCTGCCTTGCTTGGTGTCTTCCTGGGAAGTGGTGTACCCCAGTCCTTCTGCTTCTGGTGCCTGCTTCGCTGTAAACTTACGTTCACTGCTCTTAAAGCTGTGCACTGAATATTCCTATCCGTGGATTTATCATGAAATGTGCAAATACATCAGTAATTGGCCGCTGGCTAATGCCCGAAACTGTAATGCACAGCAACCCCTGCCCTTGGTCTCTCTGCAGAGAGTCAGTGCACATCGGTGATCCTTTATCCTGCGTCTTTACTGTTCACATCCCAGACATATGCACTGTCCATTTTGACTGCAGGAAGTGAGGGCATGCCAAGGAGAGAACTCACTGCTACAGAGGGCACTGGAAGAGACCCACACGGGTATCGAGGAGGAGGAAGAAGAGGATAAGATGAAGAAAAGTCAGGTGAAAAGCTTTAGCTGGTTGTCTGGATGGCTGTGGAGATATATAATGGGGTACAGAACATTTCATCTCTTGGTATCTGGTTCAAATCTATCCTAGATTGGTAATGAGCAAAGGGATTATTCCTTGATGGCTGTTCAGTGGTGTATGTGACTTGATCTGGTGATCTCTGTGTAATTCTCCATGTCTGCATGATTAAAAAAAAAAGACTCCCCATAGCAGTTCACACCTCATTAGCAGCCTGACCAGGGAAACTGAATTACCCCTGGATTGTCCCTCCAGGATGGGCTTGAACAGGCTGGGAGACACTTGCCCTGTTTCTGCTCTGCATAAGTAGAAGAGTTCAGCTAGCCTTGCTGTCCCGCTGGCTTTGTGCGTGAGCACTGCATTCATGTAAAGCTTTAGCTGGAATAGATTTTAAATGACGTATTTCTTGACTACTGAGAGGAGCCAAATCAGACCATTCCTGCCCAGATCTAAGGTTAGGTTGCTTCTCTGCAGGAAGTATAGGGTGAGGTCTGGGGTTACCTGGGAAAAACCCCTCTAGTAGCCCCTTTCGCTGCAGGAGCAATATCGGACGAGGCCTTGCAGGTATCCCTGAGCCTTAACTTGTTTCTTTTACTCCTTACAATTCTAGTCCTCTATTGTGGAGCTGGCAGACATTTTTGGACCAGCGCCAGTAACTTCAACCCATGTTTCAGCTGACCCATGGGATATTCCAGGTGGGTGCAACTCTCAATCTGCTGATGCTTGGGAGAATGGCAGAACCTTCTCCCCTCCAGCTCTGTCCTTGTCCAATTCTGGGAAACCTAACAGTAAGAATCTTTGCTTGTGTTCTCTCTGTCTGCCCTTTCCCCTTATCCTCTGCTCACTCACTGCATTGTCATAGCAGCTTTTAACCACACCTGGGCTATTGAACAGAAACGAGAAATGAAGGAAGAAGGGTGACAAATGGTAAACATGGGCTGATTACTAAATGCGCCCTGCCTTCTGGCCTCATTTTGCTTTATGTGTTTCTTTTTTGATTACCTGTTCTTTTCTGTTCTTTCTTTCTCCTGCTCCTCTCTAACCTATTTGCCCCTTTGCCTCACCCCTGGCTGTGTTTCAATGCTCTCTGCAGTGCCTTTGAATGGTTCCCTGCCTGTGTTCCACATCTTCCTGTGTGTCTTTCAGGTCTCAAGTCCAATGTGGAACCAGCAGGAGCCTCTTGGGGCCCCTCTGCAGACCCCTGGGCTCCAATCCCGGCTGCTTCCGGGGATCCTCTAAACCAGATGGCAGCATCTATCAACCAGACCTCCACTGGGCCTTGGGATCTTCCTCCCATAATCTCCTCCTCTGACCCTTGGGAGAAGACCCCCCTCTCTTCAAGTCTGTCATCAGCAGATGCCTGGGTAAAGGCATCCCCACCTTCTAAAGCTTCCGCTGATGCTACTTGTACTGCTGATCCTTGGGGAGGTGTCGTTGACAATCCTCCCAGGGCAGGTAAGAGAAGCTCATTTTGTTCATCAGTTTCCATTGCTACTTGAAGCTCGGGATCATTCTTCCTGCCATCCTCATGATACTTACCATCACATCTTCTTTTGGGATCCAGTTTCCTCTGATCCTCTACAAATCTCAGCCAATACCTGCATCTTGTATTTCCTTCCCAGGGAATGTCTTTGATGGTCCACTTTGCCAACTCCACTCTGATCCCCTCTCCTGAGGAGGAGAATGTAACAGATTTTTCGCCTAAATCTTGAGCACACTGGTAGACATAGACCCTCTCTTAGCCATGTCTACACTCAAAATAGAGTAGTAGTGAAAACGGTACAGCCCCCTGGGAGAAGAATAACAAAACCACAGATCAGGTCTGTCCAGTGTATGGTGAAAGCCCTTGCAAGCCCAAAGGGGAAACCCCTAGGAGGACAGTAGTGTGTGATGGAGGAATTTACATTAGTCCCTCTGGGAAAAGAAAGCTAGAAGAGTTGGACTACACAGTGTGATACCAGTGCTGGTAAGGCCTACATGGGGGAAACAGAGCCACAATGAATAGACGCACAAATTTGCAGACAAAGAATACTTTCTGAGGGAACAAATTTCTTAGGGCTAGATTCTGATCTGAGTTACAGTGGTGTAAACTTGCAGTAACTCACCTGAAATCAGTGGAGGAATGGGTATTTAAAAGAAGCCAGATTCTGATCTCATTTACACTGACATATATTCATAGTGAAATTACTCTGAATTTAAATCCATGTGAATGAAATCAGAGTCTAGCCCCTAGTGAATAACTTTTCCTTTCCTTAATTATTAATTAATGATGATTATTTATGTATTATTTGCATTGCCATTGTGCTTTGGAGCTATGGTACCAGGGCCCCCCTGTGCAAGGTGCTGTACAAACACAACAAAAGATGGTCCCTGCCCCTGCCCAACAGAGCTCAGAATTTAAGTATTTCTCAACAATGATTCTTTCCTTTAGAGAAAGGAATTCAGGTAACTGGCACTTCTTTGGGTTGCTAGCTTTGCTCAATCTATGCAGGCCTCAGGATAGAAATGAAGGGTGACAGATTTCTGGAGTCATGGGGCATGCCTGTCCCTATGGGTCTGGGATTGGTCTGAACATACCTTCCCATTGCCCTCTGAGGCACTAACAATCAGGGAAGCCTGCCGGGCTGCAGAGGATGGCATGCATGAAGTGGGCACTCCCTTGTATGCTAAGTTTCTCTGTCTCATCCACTGGCATTGGTTGGTCAGTGGGTCACTGATTTGGACTTGGTGGCTCATTCATACAGGCTGCTTCAGGACTCACTGACCTAGTTCATTCCTTTCTCCCTCTCTCTGGTGTTCTATGTTCTCCTTAACCCCTAACTCCCCATCTCTGCTTGTCTTGCCTTGTTTTTGTCCCTTTTAAAAATTGATTCCCTCTGTCCTTCCTCTGTTGTTTTCCTTCATCTCCTCTCTTCCTTCCCCTTGCTTCCCTTCTGGGTCTGTCTGTCTCCTTTCTTTCGCTCAGCTTCAGGTGATGTCACTTTTGACTTGTTTGCGAAACCACCCCAGCCAACAGAGCAGCTGGAACATGAGAGCTCACAGGCCCCATCCTCTATCAAGCCTAACAGCCCTGTTGGTAAGAGAGTCCTAACAGATCAGGGGTGCTGGGGCCGGAAGGGTAAATAGGGCATTGTGGAACAATGGGGAAGTCGGCGGGTGTGTCTGCAGGTGAGGGTGGGAGCTTCCCTGGGGCTCTGTGGGAGGGTATATTTGTTTCATATTGTGGCATACATCTGCATGATTATAACTTACCATATATGGCTACTGGCCCCAAAGTCTCTCACTGTCGTCATCTCTGTGTTAGACATCTGACGCAAGGGTTAACTATCCCGAAGTGTTTGCACATGGGTGAAGGTGGAGTCCGCGCAAGCTACTGTTTTTCCATTAGCTAGAAATACTTGGGATCAGATGGGGCAAACTTCCATTGACATTTGTCTTCTGAGTCTGGCAACAATGCATGCTGCGAACTGCTGCTGAGTAGACAGAGGGTGCAGGTTCTTGAAGCCGAGACTGCTATTTCTGAGCTAGACTCCCTGCAACAACTTTCTGTGTTAAGGAAAGGTTGTCCCAGATAAAAGGGAAGTGTTTGTGAAGGCAATCCAAGAATGTGCTTCGTGATTCTTCAAGACACAACAGTCAGAAGAGAGAGGCAACGTCTCTGCTTCTCTCTCACGTGACAGTCCACACTTCTGCCTGTTGTTCTCTTGAAATTCATGATCGCATCTTGGTTATGCTATTCAGTCTCTGCTGTTTGTTCTAGATTTGGACCTGTTTGGTGACCTGATTCCCAGCACCAAGCAGAATGGAGTTAAGAACACAGACGTTTTTGATCTTGCGGGCTTAGGAGACTCTCTTACTGACTCCGACAAAGAGAGGAAAGATTGTAAAACTCCAGAATCCTTTCTTGGCCCAACTGCCTCATCCCTGGTGAATTTGGACTCCTTGGTGGTTGCCCCTGCAACCCTGAAGACTCATAATCCATTTTTGTCAGGTGGGTCATGGGGCGCAGGGCCCAGTCAAAAAGGCCGCTGAAGGATGTTGGGTGGTTTCTGAGGGTATGCCTACACTGCAGCATAAGCCCAGGTTAAACTTCAAACCTAATCCCCATTCTGTCTACACACAAATTGCACTAACCCAGTGTCCCAGGACCCCACGGGGTGAAGGGTCCGAGCCTGAGTCAACCCGGGACCCAGGGTTCAAGCCCTGTTGTTTTGCAGTGTAAACGCAGCCCCACTGAACTTGTGCTCTGGGAATCTGCAAAAAGTATCCTACAGTCCCATAGGCCAGCTTTCGTTGTCCAGTTTGGTGGACAGTCAGATTTTCCCACGCTGCACCACGAACAAAAGGCTAGAGCCAGCCACATTTTGGGAGGGTGATAGGAAGTCTGGGATATGGGTGGTTGAACTTGGGCCTGCGCAATGCAGTGTAGATGCTGGAGCCCCAGGCTGGGAGACCCAGGGTTCAGCAATTCCTAACCTGGGGTTACAAATGACTGTAGATGCTCAAGCCCTAAGTTAACAAACCCAGGGTCTGCTAGCTTGAATTCTACTAACCCTGGGCTTACATTGCAGTGTAGATGTACCCTGAGGCTCTTGGCGGGCTATGTAAGGATGACAGGTGGGACTTTCGAGGGGCTCATGAGCTGAAGGCCACAAAAGGATGGTGGGCGGACCAGTGGGAACATTTTCACAATGACTTGGTTTAAAATGCAGCACCTACAGTGGTTGAGCTCTGCCCTTAGTATCACAGTGAAAAACAAAACCACACTAAAGTTCTGATCCTGGCCAGGAAACGGAGGTCAGCCTGAAACTCAAGGCAGAAACTTTGGTTTGAACTTAACTTCTCAAGCTAAATTTTTCAGTCTTCTCTCTGAATTTCTGGGGTTGAGTCAAACCCTGAATGTTCCTGACTCATCGGTTTAGTAGTTGAATTTAATAGCAGTGTGTTTTGAGACCAGAGATTAGCCTTGACCTTTAACCCTATCCCCTGACTTCCCATCTTGTAGGCTGTATGCCTGATGATGCTGTGTACTTTCTCCTGACAGGTCTCAGTGCACCTTCTCCCACAAACCCATTCAGCATCAGTGACCAGACCAAACCAACACTCAATCAGATGAGGACCAGCTCCCCAGTGCCAGGCATGGCCACGGGGATGACCATGAACTCCATGACCTACAGTGCTTCACTCCCTCTTCCACTCAGCAGCGTCCCAATGACCCTCCCCGTCTCCATGAGTGCCTTCCCGCAGGCCGGCGCAGGGCCGTTTCCACAGCTACCCAGTAACCTGCCTCAGCCTTTGTTGCCACTGACAGGCTCTGCTCTTCCCCCCGCCTCACAGGGCGTGATGAACCCTTTCCTCTGAAGTCTCTGGATCTGTGTTACATGTAGTCTGTCTTGTCCCATCCCCAGCTATTATGGAAATCTTTGCGTGTTCTCAAGCAAAGGCCTTGTGGGCAACAGTTCATTAGTTGTGATGGAGGAAACCATTCACCTGCAACTCCTAACCCAACACCTGCCCAGGTTACAGAGACACAGTTAGCATGAATCTCCTTGCTTGAAGTGCTATAGAACTACCTGCTCCAGCATGGCAGGTAAAGGATGGCTAGATCTGCCTTTGATGGCAATAAGGGCACTCTTGTCATCAGCTGGCATTCCCATGATCTGCAGAGTAGATGGAGGGTCCCTAAGAAAGGGCTTTAATTATCTAGGGTCCTCCACTCTCCAGCACCATATGCTGGTACCCAGAGAGCCCAGTATGAAGCATCTTAACAGACATTTTCTAGTCACTGTAGATCTCTTAGAGATCATCCTGGGCCCGTCAGTGGGATAGAGGAATCCTTCTATAATCTGCATGGAAGGTGCAATCACTTGCTGAAACTTGCCGCCCCAACGCTTGCTGAAGGTCAGGATGTTCCCAGGGACAGGAGGAGTACCCCTTAGAATCCTTTTCCTCTGCCAGTCACCTGTATGCTTTTCCCCATGGCCCTGGGGATGACTGAACTCTGATCCCGAGAATCCTCTTCCTCTCCTGCTGTCACCCATATGTTCCTCTATTTGGATGCTAATGTTTGGGACCCTCTTCTCTGCCTGCCTTATCCAGATGTCTTCCTCCCCCACATCTGGGTGTCACTCTTGGGAACCCAGTTTCTCTGCTGCTGTCACCTGGATGTTACTCTGCTTGGGTGCTGGTCTTTGGAACCCTTTTCCGCTGATGCTGTCATCTGAACTGTTCTCCATGGGGCACTGACCTTTGGAACGCTGATCCTTTGTGGATGTTCCCCATGTGTTCATCGGCCTTGGTGCAGATCCTCCCAGCCTGACCCCATCTCCCTTAAACTCAACGAGACAAAACCTTCTGAGACAACCCACACAGGCCTGGATAACTTCAACTACTGGATCCCAGTTTCAGCCTCTCGAAGCTCTCCTGCCAGGACTGCGGTGCTCTGTGGGAAATACATTGGAGTGGGGGAGGAGGGGCTAATCAGCTGGGACTGTAGGCTGGGGACAGTGTGAGGTTAATATCCTGAGTGCCAGCTGTGTCTCACTTTGAGGACTCCATGCCAACTCCATTAGACCCCGGTGCAGAGGGAGAGGAGGACTCTGAGACACTAACACAGCAGAGGGAGGGGTGATGGGACTAAGAAGGGGGAGTGGCCGGGCAGTTGTTAGCTCGTTAGTGTACACGTTTCACACTTCTCTAAAGGGGCAGAGGCAGCAGCACGGTTTACGGAGACTTCGTGGCTGTAACTGAATGTAGGAAAACATGAACTGGCTGTAAAACAATAAAATATTCTAGTGTATTTCGGTGTGGGGCTTCTGACTTCCCAGGACACTGGTCTGGGCTTTACCCTTTATTTCTCTTCCTAAGTTTGAAGAAGGCTTTGCTTCCCCCTTCAGTTTCTTTTACCGTCTGCCCATAAGCCTCATCACAGCAATGCCTGGCCTCTGGATCCAGACCCATCCCTTTTTTATAGCTGCCCTATCTCTGGCATTCACACTTGCCTCACACCTTGGGTCATCATTTACACCATTGCCAAGTGAGTTTACAATGCTGCCATTCTGGTTTGCCAGCATTTCTCACCCACGTCGTGCCAGTGTAAATGCTACACAAAGGGCAGGGCAGTGGGGAATCAGGCCCGCTGACGCTATGGTGTTGGGAACCATGCGTGTGCCTGGATGGATTTATAAAGCATCTATCACAGGGATGCCGGTTTCCTCCCAGAACTCCTGTGTCTTGTTCCTCATATCTGGGATGAGACTCTGTGCTGTGCCTCCACGTGGCTTTCAGCCACTTTTGTGCCCTCCCAATTCTGACCTGCTACAAGGGGCAAAATGGTCCTTGGTGTAAATTAGAGCAGTTGGGGTTCCACCTTGGGCAGCCTCTGGGCTGCTGCAGCCCAGACTCCCTGGTGCAATGGGCAATACCCCATGTTCCTGGGACATCCCCTGCACCAGATCCTGCAAGGGAACCAGCATGTAGAGATGCTTACGGTGGTCCAATGCAGTGACTGTACCGGGGCATTTTCCCCCAGCCATTTTCAGGCTTTTTCTGGCTCGTGCATGCCAGTGCAGAGGCACAGAGGGTCTGGAGCAGGGTTGAGAATCTCCCTGAGAAATGCCCTTCTGCTTCCCCCCTCCAGTTGTGAACGCCCTCCTCCCGCCCTGGAGCTCTCTCCAGCACGGCCTTGCTCCCAGTCTGTCGGACCTCTCAGCAATGCTCAGCTGCTGCTTGCCCCCACTTGGAATCTTTTGCCAGGCCTTCTGGGTGAGTTTGGCGAGCAGGAATTTGAGCCGTTCCCAGTGTCAAAGCAACGGGGGCTGTCTCTTTAAAAGAATGAGCCAGGGACTTGCTGCCTTGAGCTCTGAAGGACAAGGACTGTTTCTGACTGAGCCAGGCCCCTGCGCGGTCATTGCGAGGAGCATCCTGCTCACGGCTGGCCTGCAGATCCTCTGCCCGTGGAGCAGACAGAGGGGATTTCAGTTCTGGCTTTGCTTGGGGTATATTTCTGCCATTGCCCAACTATGTTCCCTTAGGGTGACCAGACAGCAAGTGTGAAAAATTGGGACAGGGAGTGGAGGGTAATAGGAGCTTATATAAGAAAAAGACCCAAAAATCGGGACTGTCCCTATAAAATCGGGACATCTGGTCACCCTATGTTCCCTTGGCAGCTCTTTGGAGATGGTTTGTTGTTTGCCTGTGTGGGGGACGTGGGCATGTCAACACCATCTTCTCCTATGGAACGATAAACATGGCTACGTGTCAGCTCACAGGCAGTCTCAGCTAAAGCCCTCTGTCCAGGCTGCCTTTACATTGACCAGAGGGGCCACCATGTGTGGCCTGGGAGCAGGCCCAGACTGGGCTTCCCCATCCCAAAGCCAGTGATAGCGTGCTAGAGGGGCAAAAGCGACTGGGTAGCATGAGTGGATGTTTAATGTCGTCTAGATGGAAAGCACAATATTCCTCCCGAGAAAAAATCAGATCCCACTTGTGTGTGTGACATTTCATGGGGTCCCCAGGCCTGAGTCACCTTGTTTCCCCCTGCCTCCAGCCAGAGGGAGTCTGGCTTGAGGTGGCTGGTGTCCGCTCCTTAAGCCTGTCAGCCCCTCAAACCACACTCCTACGGGTTATGCCAGCCCTGATTTCGCCTTGCAGGTTAACAATCCCTGCAGCCCAGTCCCTGAGTCCCTTTGAAGCATTCCCCTGTGATAGCTGGTCCCTGGCACTGGCTATTTACAGAAATCCCACATCCTCTGCCCCCAAAGAGCAGTGTGTCTCAGTGCGCCAGTTTTATCTTAACACCCGTCCGCCCTCCCCCGCCAGCACACAGCACTTGTAATAAAACAAAAGAAGGTTTATTTGAGAAAGGATAGCGATTCTCCTAGAAACAAGTGTCAGGGATGGAAACAAATGGTTACAATACAAAACAAAATCATCAAACGCAAACTAGGATCTACACTTACTCACAGTTACCTTTCCTAGCTAATAAAGTAAGTTTTCTCCTCAAAGTTCAGCCTGTTGCAGGGTTGGCTGGCTGGCTTCACGGGAACCAGTATCCAATTTTTCATGAGCACATCCCCCACTCCCCAAGATGTCTGCTCAGTGAATGGATCCAGAGGCCTTTCCCCACCCTGTGGTATACTGAAATATTCTTTTGTCTTTATCCAAAGCCAAGGTGATCCCCCATCTGTTGTAATGTTCCTTTTTTACCTCCAAGCGATTTTGATTGTTTGCGGTTGTCTCTGACGTTTTTTCATTGAATGTCTTGGGGTGGAACAAGGCTAGACAATTGAGCCTGGTATTACATCAGTGGCTAACCAAGGCAGGGTGACAACTCCCTCCTGCTTGAATGGGCTACCACTGAGACGCATTATCCCCTGGTGATTAACTTTTACTCCAAGTCCATACAGCAAACGTTCAATATAGCTACCTAATAGGGTTGCCAACTTTCTAATTGCACGAAACCATACACCCTTGCCCTGCCCCATCTCACCCCTTCTCTGAGGCCGTGCCCCCACTCACTCCATCCCCCATCCCTCCATCACTCGCTCTTCCCCACCTTCATTCACTTTCACTGGGCTGCAGGAGGGGATGAGGGCTCCAGCTGGGGGTGCGGGCTCTGGGGTGGAGCCAGGGACGAGGGGTTTGAAGTGCAGGAGGGGGCTGCGGGCTGGGGTCAGGAGTTGGGGTGCGGGAGGAGGTACAGGGTTCGGGCTCCGGGAGGAAGTTAGGTTGTGGGAGGGGCTCAGAGCTGGAGCCGGGGGTTGGGGTGCAGGATGGGTTTCCAACCTGGGGCAGGGAGTTGGGAGGAGTGGTGTGTGGGAGGAGGTTTGGGGTGTTGGGCTTCAGCCAGGTGGTGCTTACCTCAGGTGGCTCCTAGTTGGCATCACAGCGGGGCTAAGGCAGGCTCCGCACACTGCGCTAGCCCGCAGGCACCGCCCCCGCAGATCCCACTGGCCATGGATCCTGGCCAATGGGAGCTGCAGAGCTGATGCTCGGAGCGGGGACAGCACGTGGAGCCTCCCTGGCTGCCCCTGTGCCTAAGGGCTGCAGGGACATGCGCGCCACTTCCGGGAGCTGTGTGGAGCCAGGGCAGGCAGGAAGCCTGCCTTAGCACCGCTGCACCGCTGACCGGACTTTTAACGGCCTGATCAGTGGTGCTGACCAGAGCCACCAGGGTCCCTTTCCGACTGGGCATTCTGGTAAAAAACTGGACACCTGGCAACCCTATTACATTATTCCTTAAATATCACCCATACATGTCTCACAATGACTATAACTCTTGACGAGTTACAAGCTTTCTCCCCAAATGAATTACAGTAAAATGGGAAACTCCTTTGTCATGTAACAGGGGGGCCACTTCTGGCCACCACCCCAGACTCTGTACACTGTTCTGTCAACATACAGGGGCTGCAGGGCTGCTATGATACCGTAGGGCCAATGTAAGTGGCCCTATGCTGCCCCCTTTACAGGTAGCTCCCAGTGCAGAGGCCATGCCTGGGGACAGGTCAGTAGCATCCTGCCCAATGGGGGAATCTGGGCTTCAGCACAGCTCAGTGTTGGCTGCCAGAAGTTAGAGCACCCCCAGGACTGCTCTAGTTTATACTGGAAACTGCAGACACCCTGCGCACAGATGGTTTAAACCCACCTTTGACCCCCTCCTCCCAAAGTTTCACTTTCTGGGCTGTCTCTCGGAGCACAGACTGCTGCACAGGCTCCTTACACACCGGACAGGGCCACCTACACCATATTTGCAAAGATCCCTCGCCGTTCTCAGCCACCACAAAATTCCAGAGCCTTTTCAGTGTAACTTAGAGGATGAACAGGAATAATATTGGAACAAGTCCACTGATCCATCTGTGCCATTCTCTTGGCTTTGACCGTGCCCAGTGGCAAAGGCTACAGAGGGAGGCAGCACCCCCACCCCAGCTACAATGGCATGGGGGAATTTTTGCCTGACTCCAACTGGTGATCACCTTCCAACCCAACACATGGGGGCTGAAATGGGGTTGAAGTGTGAAGGGTTCCTCTATGGCAGGGGGGCAGAGCATAGCAAGCGGTGGTGGACTGCTAACTCTGAATGAACAGAGAGCCTGAAGACTCCTCTCTTAAGGGGTCAGGATGGAGGGGCAATGGGGAAAGCTGACATGGCTTCAGAGAAAAGATGCCAGTGGAACAAGGTGTTATAGCTGTTACTAAAAGATCATCAAGTCAAGACATAAAGCAAAAAATAAAAGAAAAGAAAAGAAAAAAAAATAAAAGAAAAAAAACATTTCAAGCCATCCGCTGGGGAAGAAGCGAATGTCATATATTCCAGCTCTCGAAGGGGCCTGCCTTTGCAGTCCTGAAATCTGCACTGCACGTGGATCTTTTTTGCTGCAAAAGCTTTTCCTGTGTTACATAACATCCCTCCATCTCCACCCCCTCCAAAAGGCACAGCAGGAACAAAATAGAAACAATCTGCCTGGGTTTAGCAGGTAATCAATTTAGTCAGGCTCCCTGTGCTCCGGGCACTGCAGCTACATTGTACCCGTCAGACTCCAAGCGTTTGGAAATTCAAATCAGCTCACCAAGGCGCTGACGCCGGGGTTTGGGGGAATGATCACTCATCTGGCAATTACCAAGCAGCGCTGCTTGTTTCATACCTTCATGACAACAAATATTTAAGACCAGCTTCTCTTCACAACCTGCAGCAAACAAACATGGAGTCGTGGGGCCGGGGCTGGGGGGGGGGCGGGGGGAGCCAATCTATTGCAGCACTAAATCAACCCCCTTAGCAAAAATGTGCTTTGCCTCCCACAG